AAGTGCTCATGAAGCCTCTGAAGCCTGGTCAAGCCCCAAGGACCAAATTCCTCGTGAAGGAATTGATGTATGTGCCAAGAACCGTCTATCGCATTCTGACAAAGACTATGAGTCCTATCAAAGGCCACGAGTCATCTGATGAGGAAATTGTTGGCATCATGAAGAATATGCTATTCACCATCATGCATGGCATCCCTGTCAATTATCATGATTTCTTCATGAGGACTCTGGCAAATGTTGCACTTTCTCCGTTTGAGCTGAAGCCTTATGCTCCTTGGATTATGAGATTCCTCAGAACAAGGTCTTCACTCAACTACAAAGCTGACTTTCAGAATCACCTCAGCTACTTGCCACCGATTGAAGTCCTCAAGCGGACATATTCCTCAGCTGATGAGAAGGGCAAGGCATCAGCTGTTATCGATGAAGGTATTCGTCCATTGGATGGTTAGTTCCGCAAAGCTGCATCTTATTCCACCAATGATGACTCTACCACTCATGATTCTGCTGCAATGCATCCAAGCCAAATCCTCAAGCCACTGCTCCTCGTGTGATGACTGACCGAGAGCTGCTTCTTAGTCTTCACCAGAAGGTGGATCAAAACCACAAATGGGTTAAGCGTCAGTTTGGCTCTATTCTTCACAACATGACCTCTACACATAATGCAGTGAAGAAAAACCATTACTACCTCCATGAAGTCTTCAATCGCACCTGGGCTATTCTGTCACATCTCTATTTTGAAGAAGATCTGAAGCAAATGGGTTTCAAGGAAGATTTTGACTGGTCTGCTCCTCCACCGAAGAGATTCAAGAAGGTCAAGGTTCCTTCCTTGGTCGCCAGTTCATATTCTTCATCACGCGACATGGACGAGTATGAAGACTTGGACGACACTGCGGCAGGCCCTACAACGACACAAGACCCCAACAACGCTGGCGCTCCTCCATCATCATGATATTCTTCAGGGGCGTCAGTCCTCATTTTCAACCCTTTTGGTCATTCAATGACAAAGGGGGAGAAATTTGAGTTAGTCTTCAAGCGGGTCCATCTTATATGGGCGTTTTTTCTAAGTTACAACTCTCGTTCTTTTGATGATTTTGCTGGATCGAGTTGTAAACTTAAACTCTATGGTGACCTGATACTTTCGCTGAGTTCTTCTACATGCTTATTCCTCATTAATGCCAATGCAGGCATGCTGAATTACATCAGTCACCATATTTCATCATGCATTTCAAATTCTTCATATTATATGTCAAATACGTGTATGAATTACAAGATATAGGGGGGGATCTCCATGATTATACTTTTCAAGTGTGCATTGCTTCAAAAGCAAATTCCTCACTATGCACATCTTCAGGGGAGTTCTTCTATATCTTGCAATCAAATTCCTCAATATCAGTATTTACACTTCATATGTTTATCCCCGTTGAAAACTTAACCTATATTGTCATCAATCACCAAAAAGGGGGAGATTGTAAGTGCATCTAGTGCCCCTTAGTGATTTTGGTTTATTGAAGACTTATAGGTTAAGGGACTGATGCATTTGTGAGTGTACACAAGTCTATTAGTCTATGAGTAGTTTGATATTTACAGAGAAAGTCGACCCCTAAAAATGAAGTTCTTTAACTGAAGACTTTGGATTTCTAAAGACTTTCTGAAGACTTTGAAAGTGAAGAAATTGGTGTGACCTTGAAGACTTGGCAATCATTCGAGGAACATGAAGTGTGAAGACTTTTGTTTTCGTAGTTTCATTTTCTCTTTCTTGAGTCATAGGAAACACCGTACTGTTAAAGGGGGTCGAGGAAATACCAAGGAAAAAATTTCACGTGATGCTCAACTCAAAATCCTACACCTACCAATCCCTTCGAGTGAAGCCATTGGAAATCTCATGGAGTTTAGTCATATTCTTCAGTGACAGAGACAAAGTTCTTCTGGTCTCTGAGGAATTTGTTCTGAGTGAGGAGTTAGGAATTCGCCAGTGCGGATTGCCTACACAGTGAGGAACATGATAGCCCTGAGGAATTTGAGAGTCAAGGTTCCGACCCTTGTTGTGTTATGTGCCAGCTGTCCCAAAATATCTACCCATCTAACGGTCATATCATTGAAGGGCATTTATGTCTTATCATGTCGGGTTGCTCCCTAGGCTATAAATAGTCGCCCCCTACAACCACTAGCTGGTTGGCTACTCCGAGAGAAACTGACACTTGTCATTTGAGATCATCCCATCCTCCGAGGACTTTGAGAGAAAATCATTGAGTGAGGAAAACCCAAACCAAAACACCTTCAAACCCAAAGTGATTGAGCATCACTGAAGAGATTGATCCTGCGTGGATCCGACGCTTGTTACCTTTGAAGACTATGCTTCTTCCAGACGGTTAGGCGTCAAGATCTAGAGCATCCAAGAGGAATTGTGAATCCCCGAGTGACCTAGTCTGTGAAGGTTTGCAAGTCACATGAAGACTTACCACGAGTGATTGGGCAAGGTCTATGTGACCTTAGCTCAAGGAGAATATGGTGAGGACTGTGTGTCCGAGACTGTGTGTCCTCGAGTTTAAATACTCAGCCGCTCCAACCAGACGTACAACTGAGACAACAGTTGGAACTGGTCTACCAAATCATTGTCTTCACCAAGCTTACTGGTTCTATTTCCTCAACTCTTTCATTTCCTCAATTATGTTGTTGTGTGCTTGTTCATATCTGTTTGAAGACTTTGACTGAAGACTTTCTCAATTTCCTCGGTTCAACTTCTTCAGTCTGTTCGGCTTCATCATGTGTTATCTTGTGCTTACGCTTTCTATACTCTGTGCTTGTCTTCATTTCATCATGATGACTATGCTTGTGTTCTGTTATGTTTACTTTTGAGTACTTATTCCGCTGCAAGTAATTCTTCATTTAGGAATTTCCTCACCAACAAATTCCTCAGTGAAGAATTCATAAAAATCGCCTATTCACCCCCCCCCCATCTAGTCGATATAACGCACTTTCACCAGGGCAGGAGCCCAAGTAGGATTCAGACCTACTAGGGGCGCCTCCTGGCTGCTCCCCACTCCCCCCACCTATATATATGTGGGAGGGGGCGCCACACATAACGACAATCTCTTAGCTGTGTGCGGCGCCCCTCTCCACAGTTTCATCCCTCGGTCATATTTTCGTAGTGTTTAGGCGAAGCCCTGCGGAGATAGCTTCACCATCACCGTCAACACGCCGTCGTGCTGCCGGAACTCATCAACTACCTCGTCGCCTTGCTGGATCAAGAAGGCGAGGACATCACCGAGTTGAACGTGTGCTAAACACGGAGGTGCCATACGTTCGATCAGTTGGATCGTGAAGAAGTTCAACTACATTAACCGCGTTACTAAACGCTTTCGCTTATGGTCTACGAGGGTACATAGACACACTGTCCCCCTCATCGCTATGCATCTCCATGGATAGATCTTGTGTGTGCGTAGAATTTTTGTTTTTGTTTTCCATGCAACGTTTCCTAACACCGCCTAGTAGCCATGCCCCCATGCCGTCGGGTGAGGAGCGAGCCTTTTCTGTTGCTGGAGCGCCGGCTCGAGCTCCTTGAGCATGTCCGGCCTAGGCACGAAGCTCGGATCACCGCGGGGCTACCTCTGGATGCAGTGGATCCAAAGGAGGAGTTGGAGAAGGAGGATGAGGAGGAGTAGGAGGTTGAGGAGGAGGAATATGAGACGGAGGAGGAGGATGTGGAGGATGTTGGTGATGCGGATCTGCAGGTGGAGCAGCAGACCATCCTCGATTCCCTTTGGTAGGAGTCGGCTGCGGAGGCCAGACGCCGTTGCCGGCAGAAGATGGAGACGCAGGAGGCCATGGAGGAGACGGAGATGCTAGCCTACATGGATGAGGTCGAGCTGGATGAGGATGAGCCGGAGGCCTCCTACCCGCCCGTCCAGCCGGCGCCCGACACCGTCGACGTGGACATCTCCGACGACGAAGACTAGCTAGGATAATACATAGTATGTAGTACGTAGTATTTCTTTGCATGCTTTCTATGGATCTAAGGGATGAAATACGATAGAGGCGGATGCAGAGTTGCTAATTTGAGGCATGACCGGACACTATCCGCGGATGCAACCGGCGTTTGAGGGGCCGGATTTGCCAAGTCCAGTTGTAGATGCTCTTAGATCCCAAGGGTTGTCACTGTTTTGCTTTCGAGTGCTGAATAAAGATCTCTGCCAAATTTTCTTGCATTGGATTTGGTTGGGTTTTTTTTTGCTAGGATTTGCTTGTTTCTATTCTTGACCTCAAAATGGTTCCAATGCCTATGGCATAGCATAGTACATCTGTTTCTTTGGGATTTACTTTGTTATAGTCTGAATTTTTGGTTTGTATGCAGGCAATATTGACATTTTATGTTTGAACACAGCACAGACACAATATATACGCATACACTCATCCCTATGAATACACACTCTACTTCTATGAGCAGCTTCGACACACTGAGACGGCATATCATCTTGAGATTTATGAGGTCATCGTAGTCGCCTCATCGTCGACTAAAAGCGCATCGTCGAAAATTCTGAAATTAATCGAGGAATAATCAGGAGTTTAATCTAGTGGGCTGGGAATCCGCTATGCCTCTAAGGCTCTAACCATCCAACCAACCATATGTTGGTTTTGCAATGTGGGGAGTGTTCATCTATCTTTTTTTTAAATAGTGTTCATCTATCTCTGTATATACTCGAGCGTCACCTGTACATACATGCTAGAAAGATTTGAGCTCTAATCTCAGCTCGATCGTGCAGTTGGATACGGCCACATATACTGTCGTTTCCATCCAGGTTAGTCTTTCCCAACTTCAATCAAATACTACCGCCTATATCTTGGAGAATTTTACGCAATCAAATAGTACTGCATATCTTCGTGATTTATTTGTAGCTAATCAGTCCGGTACAAACTAAACTCGGTGTTCTCCCCTTCTCTCCGATCTCATCTGGAAAAATTCACAAGCGCAGGTTGGGCCCTCGGCCGTCCCAAATTCACACATGGCCTCGATCCCGCTCGGCACCTTATGGTCACCCCCCGCCGCCGTCGCCGTGGCCGCCACATCCCGTATTGCGCGGCCGGTTCATATCCAGCTGCTGGACCGGCGAGGACCCTCGTCGGCGCGGGTCAAGATTCATGCCCGCACGCGTGACGCGTTTCGCTCACACTGTGACAAGCGTGCCGATCACCTCCCCGAGCCAGAGCCAGAGCCAGAGTCAGAGCCAGAAAACGACGATCCAAACAACGTAAGGCATACATATCCATCTGAGAAGTAATTGATTTTTTTGAGCTTCGTTGTTTATCTGACAAATATTTTGTTAGAAAATTATGTCTAATATTGGAACTCAAATCTGCTATGATCAATATTGTTGTTTGTTTGATTGGTCTGTCCTTAACATGTATGTGTTTGTGAAATCAAATTCGATGTGCGTCCTACCCATGGAGGAATCTGCTATACTCTCTACGTTCCAAATTATTCTTCATCATACCTTTGCCTTAAGTCAAACACCACTGATTTTGACAAAGTTTTGGGGGAAGTGTATTAACATTTGTAATACCAAATAAATGTACTATCAGGGCATATTCAATGGTAGATTTAATAAAACTAATTTGATGTTGTAGATGTTGGTGCATTTTTCTCTAAAGTTGGTCAAACTGCTATAATGAAATATAATTTTGACTGGAGGGACTTTAATGTTCATGACAGTTTTCATTTGTTCTGATGTGTTACTGAGATGACCTATTTGTTACTCCCTCCGTTCCTAAATATAAGTCTTTGTAGAGATTCCACTAGGTGGACTACATACGGAGCAAAATGAATGAATCTAAACTTAAAATACATCTGTATACATCCGTATGTGGTTTATAGTGAAATCTCTACAAAGACTTACATTTAGGAACGGAGGGAGTAGTTGATATGGTATGCTCGTTTTTATATGACCTTTTTTTTCCTCAACTGTAACTAGATGTGTGTTTCTTTGACTCGTATCAAAAGGCCATTTTTTTTATCATGGAGGCTTCTCCTAAATTTATCTTAGCTTCACATGTTTGTCATTATAGTCTGTTTTTTTATGATTGCTATGTACTGTAAGTGGAGTCCATATCTACTTGAAGTTCTTAATATTTTCTCTTATTCTTTTTTTTTTGCTTCAGCTTCTTTTTGAAGATTCATGTATTTTTGTCATTGAAGCCTAACGTAATGGGTTATGATAAGTTATAGTTCACTTCAGTTGGATTTATATATTCTTATTAATGTAAGTTTTTGTTAGGATGAACCATAAGTACTGTCATTTTAATGCTGGTTACAAGTTGTATAGCAGCCTGTGCTTAGAGCAGCTCTAGTCCGTCCCCAAAACTAAGTGTCCAAAAAGCCACCCCAAAAGCTTAAAATCCCAAAATCCTGGGTGTTGGGGGTGAATTCTAATCCATCCCCAAAAGTTAGTTCCCAATAAGAAAACTACACTTGTCAAGGGCCTCGGTGCCCAAGACAGCGGGGCCTCGACTACGTAGTTCGTAGTCTCGGTGGATAGGAGCGCTAGGGTTTTTGCCTGGCTGCTCAATGGTGCGGGAGGAGAGGATAGGAGACAGAGGAAGAGGTAGGAGATAATAACTTTATTGCTTGCCCTCAAAGGGTGCTGATTATACGATATATAAAGGCCTCATGGGCTGCTAACAAACTAGAAACCTATACGTAACAAACTAGTCTTTTATTCTAGGAACTAATGTATAAGGACCAGGACTCCTGCCCAGCCTACGCCTCGCTTGATGCGGCCGACGGCTGCTGCTCCTGGCCGCGTGGCCCACGCCTGTAGGACGTGCCCCACATGACATCTCTCCCCCCCCCCCCTCGACGAGCAGCTCGTCCTCGAGCTAAAAAGCGGGGTAGCGCTCGACGAAACTGTCAAGATCCTCCCATGTAGCTGATGATGCTGCTTCACCCTTCCAGTGGACGAGTAGCTGGCGAATGCCGCGTGCTAGGCGCGCACAAGTCACGCGCTCCGGTTCTGGAACAGCCGCCCCATTGTGGATTGGAGGCAAACCCGGCGGTGCAGTTGGAGGCGTGCCGAAGAACTTCTTGAGGAGGCCCACGTGGAACACGTCATGGACGCGCGAGCGTGCCGGAAGCTCAAGGCGGTAAGCCACGTCGTTGACGACCTCTGAAATGCGGTACGGCCCATAGAAGCGTGGCTTGAGCTTGCCCCTGGTTGGCAAGTTGAGAGAGGACGCAGCGCGCTGGCGAAGGCGAAGCCAGACCCAATTGCCCACGTCATGCCGAATGTTCCGATGGCGTCTGTCGTAGTAGGACTTGTAGACCGCTTGTGCCTGTTGTAGACGATAGCGGACATCCTCGAGAAGCTCGTCGCGCTCCGCCATCCTCCTGGCCACTGCGGCTACCCACGTGTCGCCCGGCTCGTAAGAGCGAATAGTGGGAGGGTCATGGCCATACACAAGCTTGAACGGAGTTTCTTGGGTCGCTGTCTGGTAGGCGGTGTCGTAGATGTACTCGGCCCAGGGAAGCCACCGGAGCCACTGCCTGGGACGATCCCCGGTGAGACAACGTAGGTACATCACAATGATCTTGTTAGCAGCCTCTGTTTGGCCATCCGACTGTGGATGAAACGCTGACGTCATGTGCAGCTTTGTCCCGGTGAGGCGCATGAGCTCCCGCCAAAAAGCCGAGGTGAAGACGGGGTCGCGGTCAGAGACCATGGACTGCGGCACGCCATGGAGACGAACAATCTCAGCGAAGAACACCTGCGCCACTGATTCTGCCGTGTACGGGTGGGCCAGCGCCACAAAGTGGCAATACTTGCTGAAGCGATCCACCACGGTGAGGATGACAGACTTCCCGCCCACGCAAGGGAGCGCTTCCACGAAGTCGATGCCGACGTCAGTCCACACGCCCGTGGGCACCGGCAGCAGCAGCAGCAGCCCAGCGGGGTGCAAGTGCTCGGACTTGTACCTCTGGCAAGTACTGCAAGTGCGGACGTACTCTTGCACCGTCTTGCGAAGGTTAGGCGCGTGGAAGTCGCGGAGGAGACGATGCAAGGTGTGCAGGACGCCTTCGTGCCCATCATTGTGCACGGCACTGAGAATCTCCTAGAGTAGCGGGGACGACGGCGGAATGTAGAGGCGGCCGTTGAAAGTGACGAGGCCGTCGGAGAGCGCCCATGGCTGCTGCCGCGTACCCGCCGTGATATCCTCACGCAGCGTGACGAGCGTCGGATCTGTGGACGTCGCTTGCCGGAGGCGATCGATGAAGTCGAAGCGAGGACCCGAGATCGCCATGATCGACGTCTCCTCCGTGTCGCGGCGGGAAAGGGCATCCGCCACCGTGTTTGTACTACCGGCCTTGTACTCCACGGTAAAGTCGAACCCCAGTAGTTTGCCGACCCAATGATGCTGCGGGATGGTTGCCAAACGCTGGTCAAGTAGAAATTTGAGACTGTAGTGATCCGTTTTTACCACAAATTGGCGCCCCCAGAGGTACGGTCTCCAGTGACGAATCGCGAGCACCAGGCCGATGAGTTCCCGTTCATATGCTGCCAGGGAACGGTGACGTGGCGCGGCTGGCCGGCTAAAGAAAGCCACCGGGTGTTGGTCCTGAAGAAGGACGGCCCCGAAGCCGTATGTCGAGGCGTCACACTCGACGATGAACGGCCGCGTGAAATCCGGTAGCGCGAGGACGGGAGCCGTGGTGACTGCCGTCTTGAGGGCGTTAAAAGCTGCTGCCGCCTCCGGCGACCAGGAGAAACCATCCTTGCGAAGGAGGGCCGTTAGTGGCGCGGCAACCATGCCAAACTCCTTGACAAACTTGCGGTAGTACCCCGCAAGGCCGAGAAACCCCCGAACCGCGCGCGCCGAGCGTGGTTGCGGCCATTCGGCCACTGCCTGCACCTTTTCCGGATCCATGGCCACTCCTGCAGCGGAGATGGTGTGACCCAGGTATGAGATCAACTCGACGGCGAATGCGCATTTGGATCGCTTGACGAAGAGCCGGTGCTGGTGCAGGACGGTGAAGACGGTGCGCACATGTCGGAGATGGTCAGCCCATGTCTCGCTGAAATTTAGGATGTCGTCAAAGAAGACGAGAACAAAACGGCGCAGGTACGGCCGCAGCAGATCGTTCATGAGGGCCTGGAACGTTGCCGGCGCGTTGCAGAGGCCGAACGGCATCACTAGGAACTCGTAGAGGCCGTCATGAGTACGGAAGGCGGTCTTCGGGATGTCCTCCGCACGCATCCGCACCTGGTGGTAGCCGGAGCGCAAGTCGAGCTTGGTGAAGAAGCGAGCGTGCCGGAGCTCGTCGAGGAGTTCGTCCACCACCGGGATCGAAAACGCATTCTTGACAGTAATGGCGTTCAGGGCGCGGTAGTCAATGCAGAAGCGCCAGGACCCGTCGGCCTTGCGGACCAGCAGTACCGTGGACGAGAATGCGGAACAACTCGCTCGGATGATGCCCTGGGCGAGCATGGCGGCGCACTGACGCTCCAGCTCGTCCTTGTGCGCGGCCGGGTAGCGATACGGACGGACGGCCACCGGGGCGGAACCGGGCAGCAGGGTGATGCCGTGGTCGCGGCTGCGGGGCGGTGGCACGCCGGAGGGTTCGGCGAAGATGCCGTCGAACTCGGTGATGATGGCATCGAGGAAGTCGCGGCCGCTGCATGATTTCAGGGCTGGCCCGTCCGGTCCTGCAATGCCGCGCCAGCACACCCGATGGCCCCTCCGCCAGAATGTCATGGAGAGGGCGCGGAAATCCCACAGGATCGGTCCGAGCGTCGCCAGCCACTGCGTGCCCAGGACGATGTCGTAGCCCGTGAGCGGCAAGGCGAGGAAATCCTCCGAGAACTCCTCTTGGCCGATGCGGAAGGGCACGACGCGGTACGCGCCCTGGCACGGAACGCGCTCGCCGTTGGCCACCGTGACGCGCATCTTCTCGGTGGTGGGGGATGGCAGCGTAGCACGAGCGGCCGCCTCCTCGGCGATGAAGTTGTGGGTGGAGCCTAAGTCGATCAGGGCGAGGAGGGAGACACCCCCGAGAGTAATATGCATCTGCATGGTTTCGCTCATGCGCACGCCGGAGATTGCGTGGAGCGAGATCTGAGGGTCAGCCCGCGATGCATCATCAGTAGCGGAGGTCGTGTCGTCGTCGTCGTCGTCCGGCGCTAAGTCGAGGAGAAAGATGCGCTGGCACACGCGGTTGTGGCCCCTGCCAAACTTCTCGTTACAGTTGAAGCATAGGCCCAGGCGACGGCATTCCTCCATCTCTGTCTGGGAGAGACGTTTGACTGGGCGCCCGTCCGGCAGACTGTGGCCATGCTGGGGTGCGGCTGGTGGGGCCGGTGCGGGGGGCGCGAGGCGTGGTCCTGGCGTCGGCAGGATGCCCTTCTGCGGAAAACGCACCGGTGGCGCGGCGGGAAGCGCGCACTGGTCGCGCAGCTCCAATTTGCGGGCGAGGCTCATGGCGACGGCGAGGGACTGCGGGTTATGGATTTCCACGTCGAGGCTGAGGGGTGGCTGGAGGCCTGCGGTGAAGATCTGAACTTTCTGCGTTTCCGACAAGGAGCCTGCCCGGGGAAGGAGCGCCTCAAACCGCTCCTGGAAGTCGACGACGGACGTTGTGCGCTTGCACGCCATTAGTTCGCCCAGCAGGTTCGCGCGCAGAGGAGGCCCGAAGCGGAGGTTGAGCAGCTCGGAGAAGCGGCGCCACGGCGGAGTGCCCTCGTCACGCTGGACCTGCATGTACCACAGCTGGGCAGAACCCTCGAGGTTGTATGACGCCATCCAGACTTTCTCCTCCTCGGCGATTCGTTGTTGATGGAAGAAGGACTCGCATCTGTTGAGGAAAGCGAGCGGGTCGGACTTGCCGTCGAACTTGGGGAAGTCCATCTTCTGAAACCGCGGGGGCCGATCGTTGTGGTGCTGTCCGTCGTGGCTGACATCGGCGGCTGACGAGGAGGCCGACTTCTTCTTCTGGAGGGCTGCCACGGACGACTGCAGGGATGTCACGGTTGCAGTCAGGGCTTCGATCATCTTGGCCAAATCAGCGGTGGTGGGTTCCGACATGGCGGAAGAAACCGAGGCAGCGGCGGATGGCGGCGATGGAGGTGGGCGGGGCGGCGGGTGCAGCGTGGAGGAGGCCGAGGAGCGTCTGGAACCTGATACCAAGTTGTCAAGGGCCTCGGTGCCCAAGACAGCGGGGCCTCAATTACGTAGTTCGTAGTCTAGGTGGATAGGAGCGCTAGGGTTTTTGCCTGGCTGCTCAATGGTGCGGGAGGAGAGGATAGGAGACAGAGGAAGAGGTAGGAGATAATAACTTTATTGCTTGCCCTCAAAGGGTGCTGATTATACGATATATAAAGGCCCCATGGGCTGCTAACAAACTAGAAACCTATACGTAACAAACTAGTCTTTTATTCTAGGAACTAATGTATAAGGACCAGGACTCCTGCCCAGCCTACGCCTCGCCTGATGCGGCCGACGGCTGCTGCTCCTGGCCGCGTGGCCCACGCCTGTAGGACGTGCCCCACATGACAACACTAATAAAAGCTCAACAACATACATGAGTCATTATCTACACTAACATCAATTATTTGCATCTACAGCAAAAATGATGACAAACAATCCAACATGTAGTAAAGCAGCAAAACCAAGCATCTTATGCCTATAATTCAGCTACTCTTTGTGCCCTCATCTTCCTATCTTCTTGCTGCCTCAGACTTTTAGCCTCGATTTCTTTGATTATCCTCTCAAGGTTGTTGTTCTTCATGGCAAGACCTGGATGATATATTTTGCCCTGCCTTCCCATTCACTATCAATCCACTTCACATATGAGCAAGCTTCAAAACTCTCCAAAGGGCAAGCTAAGAAACCTCCTCCCAGTGTCGCCTCCATCCTTGCATGCCGAGCAGGGCTGGTCCGATGTCTGCATCCCTTGTGCTTCCTACCTATTCCTTTAGTCCATCTAACCAAATTGAGGGATCCCAAAATCAAATTTTGGCAACTCGTTTGCCCCACTCAAAATAAACGATAGCCGACATATGTGACCTTGGCACACGGCTCGCCGACGACTTGCCTGCTGCCGACACCTACATGGCCCTCCTGCACGTGGGGAGAAATCCCATCAAAACTCCTAAAGTTGCTGACGCACATGCAGTGCGCGACTTGTCACGACGAGGAGATGGGAAGTAACCCTTGCAAAAGTTACCCCTTAACTTGTGATTTTCTTAGTTCGCAACAATTTTGGTCTTTGTTCTGTTCGATTAGTTTATCGTCTCCTCGTGCCATGGTTTTGCTACCTGGCAAGTTTTGATCCTATGTATATGTGAGACCTCCCGTGTTTTACTTTTTTGCTCAAGTTACTACTAGCAGCATACCATCGTAAACTTATCTTGGCTCATAATCTGACAAATTCTTAACATCAAAGTCTACCGGTAGATGACTAGGGGTCCATTAATTTTTCCAATTTATGTTGTTCCTCTTTACCTCAGGCTGCACCCTCAGAGAATGTTCCCTTGGTAGAGGAGCTACTCAAGCGCTATAACGCGATTAAAGCTGAGATGGGTGTGGTAAGTTTTTAATTGCAATGAGTAACCACCTTTAAGATTATTAGATTTGATGCTCTGGTTTCTGACATATCGATTATCTTTTAAAGCGGGAGCCCCCTGATATATTCCTTAAAGAGAAGGGCCGAATTTCTAAGTACAATATGAAGTTGTCTTCTTCAGATAGCAATCTGGTTAGTTCATTTTTATTATGTGGGCAACATGTTTACCAAGTTCCCTTTTTATAACACATGAAACCATTCAATGCAAAAAAGCTAATTGCTAAGTGTGCTACTTGTTTTGAATTTGATGCCTTTTTGTTTTAAAATGGCTATAGTGTTTTACTTGTCATTTGTGATAAAGTTTGGCAGGCATGCCAAACATATAGTAAAGAAGAAGAAAATTAAGTGAATCCTACTTATTCCGCATGTGGTTGGAGCTTTCTGCTGCCCACCTGACCCGCCCACTGAACCAGTTGTTCTATTTTTTCTTCTTAATCTTACTGATTTAGCCTTGGTTTATTTTCCTAAAAAAATTAAGTATATGCCATGTTTTTTTAGATGTCATTTCTACATGTTGCACTTTATGTTTTTCCTGTTCTTCGCTTTGCATACAAATAATGATATTTCTTATGACCTGGTTTTAGGAATGATGTATTTTCATCTTGCAGTGGAATGTGCGTCCATACGAAAACTATAATAGTGCTTAAAGTAATGCAAGACTGGGCACAATCTAGTGGAGCACTATGAATGAATCAGTGTGATTCTTTGGAAATAGTTAAATACGAGCATACAAGTAGACACCAACAATGAACTACTGGAAACATCGCTGACGAAGTATCAATGTGCCTCCTAAAATAGTACGAGTATGATGTACCAGTGAACAAACTACTCATCAACGGAATTGACGACTCAACCCTACATACTTTTATGAATTGCTACTCTAGGTTGTTTTGTTGTTTCCATGGTAATTTTTTTAATGTTTCGTAGGAGGTGTGTTCTTGACATCTATAGCATCTTGGGGTTCTTCATGTAGAATATATAACTTGTCTTGTAGACCCAGTCATAAAGAATACAATGTTTCAAATAAACATAAATCGAACAGCTCATATAAAAAACTTATTTGAATCTGAGTATCAAATATCTCATCTCCAAACACATGCACAACTTACAGTTTTTTTAGTGATTTCTTTCTTATACCTAAGTCTAATGGTATCACTATCTTTTTCTCTTTGTTTGGTGGTTGTAGAATGTAGACGAAAAGGTACAAGCACAATTAGTTTACGAAAGTGCACAAAAAGCTCTGGATTTGGCTTCCACGGTCATGGTAAGTGGGTCCAGCTCTATCATTTTGCTCATTTATGTGTAAGGTACATTGTATATCAATTGTGCTTGAACGTCAATTCTTGTTAAACAATCCAGGATATTGCGAGCTTAGGGTGTGGCATGGTAGAAATATCTAAACATACAGTAGACCAGGTAACTTTCACTCAAGGTCATGCTACTTTAAATCACACTTGTGAATATAATGATCATTTTTCCTCTAAATTATAGATGGTTAGGACATATGCGACTATATTTTGTAATGTTGCTGAGGCTGCATACCATCAGAAGATTGAGATGGAAACCACTCTCTCGTTTCTTGGTGCCCTTAGAGGCTTAGGGGCAATTGGTCATATCATGGTTCAAGATACAATGGCTAAGCTCAAAGATGGTCATTTTAAAAACACTATCATATCTTACATGGATAAACATTCCGAAAAGTTTGTCAAGATGATGAAGAACTCGGAAGATGAAACTGTGGAGAGCAAGTCATGGCAGGTACAATCTTTTGTCCATATATTTGCTTGCCATAGTCTATAATTGATTTTTTTTCTTGATGATATGATACATATCCCTATAGTGCATTCTAACATGTGTAGAGATTCAACAGGCAGTGACAGGTATACTATTATCTTGTCAGATCGATACGGAAGTGTATATTTTAAAGCTTAGCAAATGTCACAGGGCTGCACTGGACTACCTTGCACGGAAGGTTAATAGTATTCCATTTTGTGCAATTTATTTCTCTTGTCAATTGACTACCAATGTTCTTGTTGTAATGTGGAATGACTCGTGTTATCTCTTGTTTGTAGGAATAACATATCCACGAGAGGTTTGGATTTCCTTCACGGGCCACGGAGAAGTATGGTCAGGGCATCACACAGGGTTTGATTTATATATATGAGTACTGTCTTGTTCTTAGAAAACATTGTTAGGTTAGCTTTTTCCGATTAGCATGTGAGCAAGAACCTATTTATTGTGAGCGGCCAAACGATATTCTCATATTTTACATTAACAGATAATTTTGCATGTTTGACAAACTGGTTGGTTTGGATAAACTCCCCTTGATGACAAGGTGGTGGCATTGTGGAAGTACAGCTTTCGTAGCAACCTACAAAAGTTATGATTTTGATGCATAGACTATGCAAGTCCGTTGAGCTATTTACTCAATACTCCCTCCATTCCACAATGTAGTGCCTATAGATTTTTGTGAAGTCAAATTTTGCCAACTTTGACCAAGTGTATAGAGAAAATTGTCTACATCTACACTACCAAACATGTACATTCTGAAAATATAACTCACGATGTATCCAATGATGTGCATTTGGTATTCTAGATGTACCTACTTTTCTCTATAAACATGGTCAAAGTTTGTAATGTTTGACTTCTGTAAAAATCTATAGGCACTACATTATGGAATGGAGGGAGTATCACCATAGTTGGGGCTAGGATAACAATTTGGTACCACATTAGAGTTAGCTAGGACGAAGAGCGTTGATTGTTTGATAAGCTCGTGCAAAATAACAAAACTAACAAATTGGCCCCATCTGTCGGGCTGACGTGGTGAGGACAAAAATTTGAGCAGAGTGACAAATGAGGTGCAGGCTCCACCTGTCAATGACTAGAAGGTCTTCTCCATATCACTTTTTCAACCAAACATTGGCGCAAATGAGCGTGAGCAGCGGCAGTTCGTCCGCCTCTCCATGGAGCACCGGCGGGGTAGGCGTGGAGCAGCCATGGATGCCCGTAGCTCTTCTCTGTGCCGCGCGCTGAGCTCGCCCGCGAGCGTGCCGCTCCAGTGCCGGTGGAGTTAGCACCGCCCAGCTCCCCTGTTGGCACTGGCCCAACTCGTCGTGTACTTCCGACGAGGCGTAGCTTGCGATCCGGCCGAATACTTTCCGGCAAGATCGTCGTCGTTACCTAGGCTATGTAAGCTGGCTAGACAAGCAGACAAGTTGGCTGTCGGATGCTTTTCCGGCGAGTCGGTACGTACGCGTACGAGCACGGGAGACGAATAGGTGGAGAGGAAGGGCCGCTTGCTCCATGGACGGAACACCCAGTCAATGTGCTCCTGGTGCGCGTCGGCTCTCGCGGAGCTTGCCCGTTCGCTGTTGACGAGCACGACGGTGCGCGTGGAAGCGTCTTGCGCAAGATGGAGGCGGCTCGGCCGTCGGGGCAGCGCCGCTCCCGCGACGCGCGCCTCGGCTCAAGCGTGGACGCGCGCTTTCGCCTGACGCCGGCCTCCCCTCGCGTGCCCGCGTCTGAGGAGAGGACGTTTGCGGCGGGTAGGCGTTGCTGCCGTCGTCAGATCTCAGCTCCTTGGCCGTGTCCACTGTGCGGGAGGTTGACTGCGAGGGCAAGCACGACAAGGCACGCCACCGCTTGCCTAGAAGGTGCTCGATGGAATGCCACATAAAAAGAGTGACGAAGAGAAAGACCTTCTATTCATTGACAGGTGGGGCCGCGTATCATTTGCCACATGAGTCACTCAAAAAATTTGGTCTTCGTCACATCAGCCCAACAAACTTATCAGTTTTGTTGTTTGCATGAGCTTACCAAACAATCGGTGCTCTTCGTTATAGGTTAAGAGCAAAGTTCATGAGTTGATGGTTTTTGTGCCCTGACACAAATATGGTACCTAGTTGTTACTTTAACCTCAAGTGTGGTGATTTTAAGTAAATAACTTAAGTCGTCTAACACTCTTTTAAGGTATGAGGTGTGTGTTGTATAAGAGCATCTCCAGCCATTGGCCCCCCAGGCGGCTCGAAAAATTGCCACCTGGGGGCGAACCGGCGCTAAAATCAGCCTAGGGGTGATCGGATTCCCAACCGACGCCCCAGGGTCGGCCCCAAGCGCCTGTTTTTAACTTTTTTTGAACATTTATTTAACTAAAATTCGGCGAATGGGACAAATATTCGACGAAACAGTACATTACTTCGGCGAACTGAAATAGCTTTTTACATAGATAAAATACTTAGAAAAAACAAGAGGCCACGACTACAGGCCGAATAACGCGCTAAGATAGGCGTAGTCGCTGCCGCTACCGTTTTCCTCATCGTCCTTCTCCTCCTTCACGCGGCTGCTGGACCCCTACCGAGGGTCGCCTTGGCGGGCCGGTGGAGCCGCGTCGTCGTCGTTGTCGTCGTCGAGGACGATGACGCCTCCCTTGTCATGGCCACGGCGCCGAGCGGCGAACTGCTCAAAGGCGCGGCGCTGGCGCTCCAGCTCCGTCCGCGCCCAGTCTTCGCGCACCCACTTCAAGGACGCTGTGTCGTCGAGCCCTGGCTCCGTCTTCACGACGGCGAGCTCTGGCTCCGTCTTCACGACGGCGAGCCCCGGCTCCGTCTTCGGCTTGACGAAGCGGGGAGGAGCCGAGGAGGAGGCGCGCTCGCCCTCGTTGATGACGATGCCGGCGCTGTGGGTGCGCCGGCCGAGCGGCGTCTCCGCGGTCTCCGCGGGCTCGGCCTTGATGCCGAACAACGCCGATGACCCGAAGGAGTGAGGGGAGGAGCGGGAGAAGGAAGAAGAGGAGCCGGCCCTCCTGGGCATCCATTGGTCGCCGCTCCGGCAGGGGACCGGGGCGGCAGGGTACGTCAACGGCGGGTCGTTGCCGCCCTCGAGGTGTTGGAGGACGGCGTGGAGAGTGCGGCTGGGGGCGCCCAACACAGTTCTTGGCCCCCCGCACCACCGATGCCCCGTTGGTGGAGGCCAGCCGCTGCTCCTGCCGGCGCTGAAAGTACGCCGCCCATGCCTCGTGGTTGCCGACGGCGTACTGTGGGAGGGTCCGCTGCTCCTCCGTTAGCGACGCCCGCACGCGACCGACCTCGTCAACGAAGTAGTCGGCGCGCGCAGTGACATCTTGCAGCTGGAGAATGGGAACGCCACCGGCGCTGAGCTTCCACCATCCCGGCGTGCGCATGTCGGGAGGCGCCGGGACGTTGGCCTCGAACAGCAAGTAGGCTTCCCACTCGTGCAACGAGCGGCGACCGAAGCCATTGGCCGCCGCCCCATCACCGGGGAACATCTCGCCCATCGTCGCGGCTAGGCACGGGGAGAGAGGGGAGGAACGTCGACGGCGGCGGCGCACGGGGAGGAAGCTCAGGGGCTGTGGGTGGGGTGCGGCCACAGGTGAGGGGAGGCGCTGCTTATATAGCGGCCGGGGGATGTGGGCGCCGTGTGTACGCATGGCGGGAGGTGGTGCGTTGCCGCGCCCGCGCCGCCCCCGCCGCCCGTGAGGAATCAATGGAAGGCTGGCCAGCGGCAGCCTTGGCATTGATTCCCCGCGGGAAACCGAGGCGATGAGGACGACGAGGCGCGTGGGTCGCTGACTCGGCGGGCCCGCCGTTTTTTCGTGCCAAAAACGATTGCCGGGGCGCCCCCAGCACGCCGGGTTCGTCATGGGTCCGCCGGCGCCAGTTTCGACCCAAACCGGCGAAAAACAGGCTCCTAGGGGCGCGACTGGGCCGATTTTTGAGCGTCGGCGCTAAAAAATCGCCGGGGGAACCTGTTGGCGGCGCGGCTGGAGATGCTCTAACGTGTATGTAGCTACCAGAAAAAAAATATGATGGCTTGGTTAATTTAGATGTTGTCATGGCAGATCCATCATCATTGATAAGTCCGTGCGCTCATGCCCCCGCTTAGGGTGCTTCAGTGTTGAGGTTGGTTCAAACATCCAGCCACTCTTATCTGATTGATCTTGAGCCTTGGGCTGGAGACCACGTACCTGAATTTCCCGAACAACCACCGGTGCAAATGGCCACTAACTTGATTATTGTTGTGGGAGTGGTTATATGATATCACTTGGCTAATCTTTTACTCCGGGTTTCCTGCTTGTTTTTTTCAGGCAACTACGAGTTTTTTGGTGAAGACCTTTGGTTTGGAACTCTCACATATCAAGCAATGTCAGGCGACATTCAAAATATGCATTTCAGTAGCTTGTCATATTCTCATGTCCTATTCATATGCAATTCCTAACCTGACATAGGTGACACAAGATTGATCGTGCAAGACCGAAAGAGAATTGAAAATGCAAACCAATAAACGTTATTATTATGGGCCATGTTGTATGGCGTGTGCAAAAAAAGTCCAATGGAATTTCCCTCGTAGGTTAACATAAATTCGATAGAATTTCTTGCTAAGTTCATTAAAAATATCCATTCAAAGAAAATGAAAATCAACTCCCAGCTACATAAAGTACACTGTTTGGCTGACTTCCCATTGATATTCATCGTCAAGAATCTCCAAAAAATAAATTCCATAATTCAATGTGCTGCTAGGGTTAAAACCAACTTTCTTCACAAGATTTGTGTAGATACAAGACAAAGTAGAGCACTTCTCAAAACAGGCTTTCGCATCGCTTTAGAAGCAGAGTCAAGTGACCAAACTAATACAAGAGGATGAGAAAATACTTTTACAAAGCAGATCAAAGATAAAACCATCAGTTGAGAGAGCAGCAAAAACGCCACCAACTCAAAATCGAGCATGAGTACAGAGAATGGCACTTCCCGCGAGCAAATCGGGCTCCCGCTCTTCGACAAAGGTTAATATAACCAGTATCCATCCACCACTGTGTGTATACGTTCACACTTCATCCGTGTAATGTTTCCGATGAATAAAATTAACTATGCTTTATATGTGAATATTGCGCAGCCAGCTGTTTTTCAAAACAAGGGTTCTTGGGAGTTTCTGCCATAACTATGCGAGTACAAACTCTTATGTTCTCAAACATATATTCTTATTTAGACATGTAGCATTATCTATTTACTCCAAAATGTCAATTTACGAGATTGTACATAGTTTGGAGTAAATAGCATAAAAC